TGCATCCTGCTGAGCCCCTCTGTGCCCCTGTTCCAGGTGGAACACGACCGTGCAGACCCTGGTGGCCTCCTACGAGGCCTATGAGGACCTGATGAAGAAGTCCCAGGAGGGGAAGGATTTCTACACGGACCTGGAGGGGAAGGCAGCCAAGCTGCTGGAGCGGGCACGGGCAGCGTGCCAGGCCAGCGAGGCCCACCGGCAGCAGCTGCTGGAGAGGTGGGTGGGCACAGACCCAGTGAGACCCCGGGTGAGGAGCGCCTTTGGGAGCTGTGGGTGGGCTCTGGGGGCACGGGGAGGGCTCCTGGTGCCAGGGGGGCAGCAGCCGGCCCCACACTGAGCCCCTTGCCCCCCCCAGGGAGCTGAAGAAGCAGCCGCCCCCCCGGCCCACGGCTCCCAAGCCCCCCCTGCAGAAGAAGACACTGGACGAGGCCGGGGGTCCCGAGGTGGCCGAGCTGGGCTCGCTGGTGCTGTCGGAGTTGCCGGAGGAGCTGCGGAGCCTCCCCCCCGAGCTGCTGCCCGGGCCCCTGGGCCAGCTGCCCCCCCCAGCGCTGGCCGCCCTGGCCGGGGGGCCGCAGCCCTACATGCTGCCAGGGGGGGTGGCCAGCGCTCCGCTGCCCCCCATGGCCCCCACGCCGCCCTTCCCGGGGCACTACCGCCTGCCCGGGCCTCCCGCCGTGCCCGGCCCCTTTGCTCCCGCCGGGGGCGTCCCGGGGCAGCTCCTGCAGCCCTCGGCCCCGGCCGGGCCCGCGCCCAGCTCCGCCGCCCCGCAGCTCTTCCCGGCCGCGCCCCTGATCCGCGCCCCGGCACAGCCGGGCTTCGGCGGGGGCCCCCACGTGCTGCCCCCGCGCTCGTCCCCCCAGCACGGGCCCCTGCCCGCTCCCCCCTACGGTCTGGGCCAGCCCGGGGCAGCCCCCGGCCCGCTCCGGCCGCCCGTGCCGGGGGCAGCGCCCGTGGGTGCCCAGCCGGGGTTGGGTGGCCACGAGCCCCCGGGCACGCGCCCGGCCACCACCACGGTGGACAGCGTCCAGGCCCCCATCTCCAGCTGCTCCGTGCCCCCCCGGGGACCCCCGGGACCCTTCCTGCCCCCCCAGCGCCCGGGGGGGCCCCCGGCGCCGTTCCCCTACAGTGCGGGGGGGGTTCAGCCCTTCGGGGCACCGGCTCAGGCCCCCTTCCCCCCGGCACAGCCCCCGCCCGCCTTCGCCCAGGGCCCCCAGCAGTTTCCCCCCGGTCCCTTCCTGCCCCCGGGTCGGGCCCAGGCCCCTCTGCCCTTCCAGCAGCCCCCCCGAGTCCCCCTGGCAGCCCCGGCCCCCCAGTTCCCGCAGCAGCCCTTCCCCGGTGCGGGGGCTCAGCTGCCCCCGCAGGCTCCGGGACAGGCCCCGCTGCCCCCCCAGCTCTACCAGCTCCCCGGGCAGGACCAGCTGCCCCCAACGGGCCTGGCCCCACACCCGGGGGCCGTGCCCTTCCCCAGGACCTCTGTCCCGAGCGGCCCCCCGACCCTGGGGGGGCTGCAGCCGGTGCCCCCCGCCTCCCCCGCGCTGCCCTTCTGCCCCAGCCCGGCCCCCCCCAGCGCTCAGCTGCCCCCCGGGACCATGGCCCTGTGTCCTCCCGCCCCCGCCCCGCCCAGCCAGGCCCCTTCTCCCGGGCCCCTGCAGGGTGCCGTGGTGGTCCCGGGCCCGCTGGTGCCGTCTCCGGCCCCGTCCCCGTCCCCAGCGCTGCCCATGCAGCCCCCGGCTCCGCGGGCTCCTCCCGCGCTGCCCCCGCCGGGCTCCGGGGACGCTCCGTTCCCGCGGCAGAGCCCCTGCCCCGCAGACCTGCTGTCCTCCAGCCCCGAGAGCCAGCCCGGCGGCTCGGCCGCGCCCGGGGGGCTGCTGCAGCCCACCAAGGCGGGGCCACAGGAGGGGCAGCGGCCCCGGGCCGTGCAGCTCATCGAGGCCGACCCGTACGCGGAGCCCGAGCGCGTCCGGCGGCTGCTGGCGGAGCTGGAGCGGTTCCGTGCCCTGGCCGAGCGGCTGGAGCGGCCCGCGCCCGGCGGAGGCTCCGAGCTGGACGCGCTCTGGAAGGAGCTGCAGGAGGCCCAGGAGCGCGACGCCCGGCAGCGCTCCATCGCCATCGCCCGCTGCTACTCCATGAAGAACCGGCACCAGGACATCATGCCCTACGACCGCAACCGCGTCGTGCTGCGCTCGGGCAAGGACGACTACATCAACGCTAGCCGCGTGGAGGACCTGTCCCCGTACTGCCCCGCCCTCATCGCCACCCAGGCCCCGCTGCTCGGCACCGCCGCCGACTTCTGGCTCATGATCTACGAGCAGAAGGTGTCCGTGGTCGTCATGCTCGTGTCCGAGCAGGAGCTGGACAAGGTGCGTCCTGCCCTGGGTGCGGGGTCCCGGGGCCGGGGGGCACCAGCCCCTGCGGGCCCCGAGGGTCCCGGGGTGTGCTGACAGCCCGTCCCATGGCAGAAGGTGCTGCGGTACTTCCCGTCGGAGCGGGGCCAGCCCGTGGCTCAGGGCCCGCTGACCGTGGTGCTCACCAGCCTGCGGGTCACCCCCACGCACGTGGAGCGGATGCTGACGCTGCAGTACCGAGACCAGAGCCTCAAACGCACCGTGGCTCACCTGCAGTTCACCTCCTGGCCTGAGCTGTACGTGGGGGGACAAGGGGGGGGTCCTGGGAGCCCTGATCTGCAGGGACGGTTCTGGGACCACGGCTCTGGAGTCGGGCAGCCCTGACCCATCTGGGGGACCCCGAGTGCAGACCCCCCAACGAGTGTGTGTCCCCCCACCCGCAGGGGCCTGCCCGACAGCAAGGGGAGCCTCCTGCGCTTCATCCAGGAGGTGCACGGCCATTACCTGCACCAGCGCCCGCTGCACACCCCCGTCGTGGTGCACTGCAGGTGAGCAGGGCCGGGGGGCTCCCGGGGCAGGGGAGAGGCGCTCCCCCCATCTTTGGGGCCTGTCACACTCGGGGGTCTCTCTGCAGCTCCGGCGTGGGCCGCACCGGCGCCTTCTGCCTGCTGTACGCGGCCGTGCAGGAGGTGGAGGCTGGCAATGGCATCCCGGACCTGGCACAGCTGGTGAGGCGCATGCGGCAGCAGCGCAAGCACATGCTGCAGGAGAAGGTACTGCAGGGGGGCTGCAGCCCCGCCGGGGTGCAGGGGGCACGGGCTGCACCCCCCGGGCCTCACCGTGTCCCCTCCCCTGCAGCTGCACCTCAAGTTCTGCTTCGAGGCCGTCCTGCTGCACGCCGAGCAGGTGCTGCTGCGCCACGGCGTGGGCGGCCCCGCCCTGGCCAAGCCCCCCAACAGCACCTCCCCCAAGGTGGGTGTAGGGGGGTGTCGGGGGGTGTTTTGGGGAGCTCTGCCACTCCCAGGGCTCACGGGGCCGCTCTCCCCCAGCTCTACTTCCAGCAGGACCCGCAGGACCTGGTGCTGGGGGGGGATGTTCCCATCAGCTCCATCCAAGCCACCATCGCCAAGCTCAGCATCAAACCGGGGGGGCCCAGCACCGAGCCCGGGGAGGGCTGGGGGCTGGATCCCACCCCTGCTCCAGACCCCGTGGAGCCCGAGGTGCCACTGGTGATTCCTGACGGCGTCGTGGACGGTGTCGGTGCCCCCGACCCCGAGCCCCCCGCCCCGAGGCCGCCCCTCCCCGAGCCGCCGGGTGACACTGAGAGCAGCAACCACGTGGGGGGAGAGAGCCCCGAGGGGCCGCCAGAGCCCCCCGCTGCCCCCCCAGCCTCCTCCTCCTCCTCACTGGAGCTCCTGGCCTCGCTGACGCCCGAGGCCTTCAGCCTGGACGCGTCCCTCAAGGGCAAGCAGCGCATGAACAAGCAGAACTTCCTGCAGGCACAGCCGGGCGAGGGGCTCCGGGGGCCCCGGCCCAGCGACGACCCCCTCAGCATGCTCGACCCCCTCTGGACCCTCAACAAGGCGTGAGGGGGGCGGGGGCCCCCCGGCCCCCAGCCCCACTTTATTTGACTCCAGGTAGAACTGACTTTTTCAGCTCTTTGCTACTAAAATAAAGCGAGTTTATCTGCAGGGCCGAGCCTGGTGCTGCGGGAGGGAGGGAGGGAGGGCTCAGGGCTGAGGCAGGCTCGGGTTAGTTCCGTTTAATGGATGTTCTGCACACGTTATAAAACACGGTCGGTACAAAAAGCGTCCCCTGTACAGCACAAAGGTACAGCTGGGCGAAGGCCACCCGCGGGGGGCTGGGCCGGGGTCCCGGGGGTCCCCCCTGCCCCGGGCCGGCGCCGCCTCTACAATCACCGGGGGTCAAGAACGGACGTGACGGGCGGGGCGGTTCGGGGCAGGGCGGGAGGGGCCGGGGGGAGGCCCGGCCTGGGGAGGGCAGCGGGGCCGCCGGGCCGTGCCCGGGGCCGGGGACAGTCCCGGCTGCTGCCACGGGCCTGGCCGAGCACGTTGGTCCCGCTGTGCCCCCGCCGGCCCCTCCCCAGGGCTGCAGGAGGGGGGCGAGGGCTCCGCCCGCTCCCAACCTGAGAAAAGCGTCCTCTGGCCCCGCAGCGGGAAGAGGAGGAAGGCGAGGAGGAGGAGGAGGAGGAGGAGGAAGAGGAAGGGGAAGGTGCTATTGCTGCAGACGGGGCGCAGGAGGGAGCCGGGCAGGGCGGCTGTGCCAGGGCACTGAAGGGCAGCACTACCGGGGCTGGGCCCCCGCGCCCCCTGCCCCAATAAATAACTATTTACAGCGTATAAATAAATAGAGTGGGGGCAGCTGCGGCCCCGGGCGGGGTCGGGCGGGGCCCGGCCGCGCCCTAAGGCACCTGGGGCCGAGCCGCGGCCACGAGGGGTCGGTCCCGGCCCTCTCCCGGCCGCCACCCGGGGCCGGGGCTGGCCGGGGGCTGCCCGGTGCCCTGGGGGCGGTGCTGGGCCGGGACAGCCTCAGCTGGGTGCCCAGCCTGGGAGCCACCACTGTCCCCGCCCCTGCCCTATCCCACCCCCGTGGGGGTCCCCGAGCCCCCACGGGAGATGCTGGGCCGGGGAGAGCAGCAGGAGGGGCGGCCCCAGCCCGCCCGGGCACGGATGGAGCCACGGAGCCGGCCCAGCCCCGAGCCCCGCCTCAGTGCCGCCGGCCCCTCCTCCTGCTCAGTCCAACTTCTCCAGCACCGAGGGCACGTAGACCAGGCTGAGCTCGCTGCCGAAGTTGCAGACGATGGCGGCGTTCTCCAGCACCAGGATCTGCCGCGCCGGCTGCGACTCGTTGCTCTTGCCCAGGTAGACGGTCTGGAGCAGGTCCCCGTAGCCGATGTCCCAGAAGGACACGCAGCCCTGGCCCCCCGTGACCAGCAGGTTGTCGGAGATGACGCCCAGGCTGGCGCCGCAGCCCAGCTCCTGCGGGACGGGGCAGAGAGCTCAGCTCCAGGGGCTGGCAGTGGGACAGAGCCTTGCACTGAGTCCGGCCTATCCTGAGCCTCTGTGTGTGACACGGAGGCTTTTCCAGGCATGTGGAGATGGATCAGAGGCTCCTCAGCCTCCAAGCACAGCAGAGCTCTCTGGAGGGTATGGTGGGGGCCTGGAAAATCCAGGGGAACCCCTGACGGTGTGAGGTGGAGCTGGGAAGGAGCTCAGCCTGGAGAAAAGGAGGCTCAGGGGGAAATTCTGGCTCTGCACAACTCCCTGACAGGAGGGGACAGTGCGGGGGTCGGGCTCTGCTCCCAGGGAACAGGGACAGGAGGAGAGGGAACGGCCTCAGGCTGGGCCAGGGGAGGCTCAGGTTGGACATCAGGAGGAATTTCTGCATGGAAAGGGTGATGAGACATTGGAAGGGGCTGCCCAGGGTAGCAGAGGGGAAGGATTGAAAAGCCAGGTGGATGTGGCACCTGGGGACACAATCAGTGGTGGCCTTGGCAGAGCAGGGGGGCGGTTGGACTCTGCTGTCTCCGAGGGTTTTGCACCCCGAGCAGTTCCCGCTTTCCTGGTTCACCCTCCCCAGCTGCCCACAGTCGCACCTGCTGGATGGAGTAGAGCTTGATGCCCGAGCTGCGGTCCCAGATGCTGATGATGTCATCCAGGCCGCTGCTGATGACGCAGGACGTGGTGCAGGTCAGCGAGGTGACGTCCCCACGGTGGGCGAACATGTGGCTCACACGGCTGCCTGTCAGCACGTCCCACAGGCAGATGGCCCCGTCCTGGCCACCGCTGGCCAGCACCATGGTCTGCAGGACACCAGGGCCACGTCAGTGCCAGGGCACACACGGTGCCACCAGCACTCCCGGCTGCAGGAGGTCACACAAGTGTGGGCTGGGACCCTGGACTGCCAGCCCAGGGGTTCCCTGCCTCTTCTTGGGCTTGAGCAGCCTGGGGGAAACAGATCCCAGGTGCCCCAAGTTCACTTAGATGGGGTGGGAGAGCAGCTGGGGGCACATGTTGGCTTAGGGAGCACACTGGGGGCTCTCACTCCTCCTCCCTGGGGGCTCAGGCTCTGTTTCAGGCCTGCTCAGCCCCACCTGGCAGTGCAGGAACAGGGATTCCCTACTCCAAAAGGACAGAGAAGCAAGACATCTCCAGGGAAAGAGACTGCTGAGCTCACAGTGAGCTGGGGGAAAACTCTGGCTCGGCCAGAGAGAGATGGAGCGACCCAGGTGGTGCCTCCGGCTGAGCTACTGGACCAGGGATGAAGCCAGGTATGGGCTGAGGTGTGATCTCAGGGATGGGCTCAGGTATCAGCTCAGGTGAGGCAGGTGAGGGCTCAGGCCCAGCACTCCCCCGTACCTGGTCGATGTACACGGCTGTGATGGCTCCCGAGTGGCCCTGCAGGGTGAACAGGCAGCACGAGTCCTCCAGCCGGAACACCTGGGGCACGAGAGGCTGAGTGAGGCTCTGGGGCCACCTGAGCTCCCCACGACACAGCAGATCCCACCTGGTCCCACTGTGGCACAGCCAGACCTGCCCACAGTGCCAGGGGCCAGGGCTGCTTGTGGCCACGAGAGCAGGGCAGGGATTGTCCCCCCTGTGCTGGCCCTGATGAGGGACCCCCCGGAAGCTCTGGGCCCCTCCCAACAGGAGAGCCCTGGAGGGGCTGGAGGTGTCCAGGGGATGGAGCTGGGAAGGGGCTCAGCCTGGAGAAAAGGAGCATCCAGGGGGAAACTTCTGGCTCTGCACAACTCCCTGACAGGAGGGGACAGTGGAGGGGTCGGGCTCTGCTCCCAGGGAACAGGGACAGGAGGACAGGGAGGCTGAGGCTGGATATTGGGAAAACTCCTTCATGGAATGGGTGGTCAGGCATTGGAAGGGGCTGTCCGGGGCAGTGGTGGAGTCTCCATCCCTGGAGAAATTTAAAAGCCTTGTGGATGTGGCACTTGGAAACATGGGTTAGTGGCGGCCTTGGCAGTGCTGGGGACTGGTTGGACTTGATAGTGTTGAAGAGCTTTTTCAACCTGAATGATTCCATAATTCTTTGCAGTCAGCCATTCCTAAGGCATGAGGGTCCCACACTCAGCTCAGGGTGGCACTCCCCGGGCTCTGTCCTTCCACCTCCCCACATGCAGGCGGGTGAAGAGAAGCCCGAACTCCCCCTCCCGGTGTGGGCCCAGGCAGCTGTCGCTGTCCCCCGACTCACGCGGAGGGTGTGGTCCTGGCTGCCGGTGACGAGGCGGCCGGCGGCGGCCCTGAGCGCCGTGATGGGTTTGTGGTGCGCGCACGCCACGCTGTGAGTGAGCTGGCAGCGCACGGCGGCACCGCGGCACAGCTCCGGAGACGGCGGCAGGCTGCTCCGGCCCGGCCCACCTGCGGGGACACACCTGCCGTGGGGAAGGGCACCTCGGGCTGCTGGGCTTTGGGGCTGGTTCTGCAGCGAACCCTCTGTGCTTGAGGAAACTGGAGTGAGGGTCTCAACAGGGGCAGAGATTCCAGAATGGTTTGGGACAGTGAGGGTCTCAACAGGGTCAAGGAATTCCAGACTGCTTTGGGATGGAAGAGACCCTAAAGCCCATCCTGTTAGGGCAGGGACACCTTCCAGTGTTCCAGGGTGTTCCCCGTCCAACCTGGCCTTGGGCAATTCCAGGGATGGGGCAGCCACAGCTCTTCCAGGAAATCCATTCCAGTCCCTCACCACTCTCCTAGGGAAGAATTCCTCCCCAGTATCCCATCTGAATCATCCCCTCTATTCTGCTCCAGAAGCAAAGGAACCCTGTGCCCTAACCAGTCACCCCCCTGGGCTGTGGTTGTGCCAAGGGCTCGGGCTGTTCCCGGGGTGGGAACAAGTGGGACAGAGAGAAAGGCGTGGGAAGTGGAAGGAGGTAAGGGCAGTGCTGGTCCTGGAGGCACATGGGGGAAAACCAGCACGGGGATGGTGTCCCAGCTCAGGGAGCTCCCACAGCAGCCCTCAGCTCAGCTCCAGCTGCTTTTGGAGCAGTTACCACCAAACCTGAAGAGGATGGGAGGAAGATTCAGGTACAAGGAGGAAGAGGGAGGAGGGGAAGGCAGGAGCCCAGGGCAGGACACTGACATTCCAACACGTGCTCACCTCGGAACTGCAGGTGGTTCAAGGACTGGTGTGTCTCCAGAGAGAAGAAATCCAAGGAGCCATTCAGGCGAGCAGCCACGATCCTGAGGGAGAGATGGGGGTGAGGAGGGGCCCCTCCCTGAGCCCCAGACCTGGACACCCCCCGGGCCAAGCACAGACCAGCCAGGAGGAGGCTGCATGCAACTGGGCTGGGAGACTGGACACAGCCCCGAATGGACTGGACAGTGGCAGTGCCTCTGGAACAGCAGTGACCCAAAGGTTTCCCAGCCCTGAAACCCTCTGGATATTCAGCTGCTGGCAAGACTGAGGGCTGAAGAAGTGGCTGCTGGAGCAGACCTGGAGCCAGGAAAGCTGGTGAGGTGGATACACAGAAGGATCAGGCTGAATATGAGGTTGGACAACAGGAAAAGGTGGTTGGACACTGAATGGGCTCCCCTGGGAATGGTGACAGCTCCAGCCCTGCCAGAGCTCAGGAGGGTTTGGACAAAGCTCTTAGGCACAGGCTGGGCTTGTTGGGGTGTCTTGGGCAGGGCTGGGGCTTGGACTCCACGATCCTTGGGGGCCCCTTCCAGCTCAGGATGTTCCATGACACTGATTTTAGGGAAGACATCCCAGCTGAGCCTCTGCTGTTGTGGAGGTGGGGGCTGGGGATGTCCCAGCACTCACACAAGGAGCTGTTTGTTACCTGTTGTTGAGGAAGACGAGGGCAGTGATGCCGGACTGTCCTTCATCATTGCTGCTGCGGAGGGTCCCCTCGATGGCATCCCACACCTGGGGGAGGAGGGGTCACTGCGGTGACACTGGCCACAGGAGCACTGGACACAGGGGGGCTGGGATCCTGAACAGCTCCATGTGCTGTGCTCCCAGGCCGTGTGACCTCCTGCCTCCCATCACTGCATCCCTGCTCCTCACCTCCACCCTCCCATTAATGTATCTCAGTTCCTCATTTCCACCTCCCTGTTACTGTGTCCCTGTCCCTCACCTCCACCTGTTGCTGTGTTCCTGTTCCTCACCTTCACCCTCCCATTATCGTGTCCCTGTTCCTCACCTCCAGCTTCCCATTACTCCTGCCAGCCACGATGAGGTTCCCCTGCAGTTCCAGGCTCCAGATGGAGCTCTCCAGGTCCCCTCCCCAGGAGGGCAGGGGCGAGGATTTGTCACAGCCCGCGCAGGCCTCGTCCCCCAGGCCCCGGTCCCCGAGGCTGCGCCGGCGGCCGCAGCCGCCCTCGTCGGAGCCGCAGGCGGGGGAGAAGCCGGCGGGGCCGTGCGGGGCCGAGAGCCCCGGGAAGTTCATGTTCCTGCAGCTGGAGCCGCCGTGCTCCTCGTACACCTTCCCAACCAGGCTGCTGAAGTCGTAGCCAGAGTCCTTGTGGCGAGCGCCCACGGCCCGGAGCCGCGGCTCCGACTCGGCCGCCCTGGCGTGCTCCGAGAAGTTGGTGTCGATGAGGGAGGTGAGGTCGGGCTGGTCACAGAACAGCGGGGGCTGGGGGGGGCCCAGCAGCCGTTTGAGCTGGTGACTGCTCTCAAACGAGTCCTCCAGCCCGTTCTTGCCGTCCGGGCTGGCATCCCAGCCCTCCTGGTAGTCGAAGATGCCGCTGCTGTCCCTGCGCAGCCTGGAAGGAGGGGCAGAGCTCAGCCCCCTCCGGCAGGCTGATTGCGGGGAGCACGGGGGTGTGGGGACACGGCCAGGGCCATACCTGGGCTTGGGGATGACAGTGAGGCAGTCGCCCGTCTGCGCGTCCCACACGCGGATCTGCCCCACCAGGCAGCAGCTCACCAGCAGCATCCCGTCACTGGCCAGGCACTCGATGTCCTGCAGGAAGGGGGGACAAGCACAGCTCAGTGTGGCACCTCCGAGGCCTCTGGGTCCTCACCACAGCCTGCCGGGGCTGAGGAACTGCAGAGATGATGGATTTTATGTCCAAACTGGCAGGTTTAGGAACTGAGGGAAGAGGACATGAATATCCCTGGCAGCGTCCCTGGAGCACCCTGGGACAGTGGAAGGTGTCCCTGCCCATGGCAGGGGTGGCACTGGATGAGTTTCAAGGTCCCTTTCAACCCAAACCACTCTGTGATTCTGGGATTCCAGGATCTCTGCCCAGAGACCTCAGTGTGCACTGGACTGCTGCAAGTCCAACAGAATCCATCTGTCTTGCCTTCCCTAAAAAGTTCTGTCCCACTTTGAAGGCAGATCAGGAGCAGAGATACAACTTTTTTGGGAGATACAGCACAGCATTTTAAACTCATCTGCCGGAATGCCCATGAGCTTTGTTTCATCTCAGAACAGGAAGAATCCCAGATCCATCCTGGTTGGAAAAGCCCTCTCAGACCGAGTCCCACCTGTGACTGATCCCCACCTTGTCACCCAGCCCAGAGCACCCAGTGCCACATCCAGCTGTCCCCTGCACCCCAGGAATGTGGAGCTATCCCAGCAAAGCAGGGAACGGAAGCCAGGGGCGGTGATGGTGGCAACGTCAATGCTTTTGTAAAAATGTACAATGTTTGTACAATGTGTTTGTAAAAAGCAGGTCCCAGGAGGAGCTGAGAATATGCTGCAGGAATTCCACGCTCCAATACCCTTTCCTGATGTACTGATTTCGAAGCTGGACCTACCATGAGGTGTCCCCTGAGGACCAGGGGCACGATCTCAGTCTCGGGGGGCGAGTAGCCGTAGTCATCGCAGGGCAGGTCCCCGCGGCGGCGCCGGCCCGGCCCGTTCTGCCCGTAGTTCTTGGGGCACAGCACCCGGTAGAGGCAGAAGAGCAGCAGCACCAGCAGCATGCCTGATGCCAGGCCCAGAGCAGCCACCCTGCACGACACACCCACGAAGACAAGAAGGTAAGAAAATAAATTCCAGTTTCTAGTCCACGGATAGGTTTGGAAAGTCCTGTGCCAGGATTACTCGTGTGCTGGTCTGAATTTCTCAGCTGAGAAAGCTTTTTAACAAATTACAGAGGTTTGGTGGAAATGAAGGGGGGTTTTAATGGGAAAATGACAATTTCAACAAGATGTTGAGGCTTTTCAGCAAGGAAAGTAACGAGCAACTAAGATTTTAAGTAAACACCAGCTGGGGAGCTGGATAACACAGTGTGTTCAGCACGTGCAGATTCAGGCGGGGGTTGTGAGCCATCCTCTCTGGAGGGAGGAAAGCTCCTTGCACCAGAGTTTGATCTAACCCCCAATAAATCATTATCAAATGATATCCAGGTGGTGGCCAGCCCTGGATCCCTGGAAGTGTCCAAGGCCAGGCTGGGCGGGGCTTGGAGCACTCTGGGATAGTGGAAGGTGTCCCTGCCCATGGCACAGAGCAGGACTGGATTAGTTTTAAGGTCCCTTCCAATCCAAACCATTGCGGGGTTCTATGAAATCACAACATTTAAACCCCCAAATGGAGCTTGTGTCCTCATCCCCCAGTGAGAAAAAAAAACCCAAAACCCTGTATAGCAGCAGGAGCATTAAGGGCCTCCCTGTTAATGCACAGCCCACTCCTGCCCTCAGCTGATGGAAAACTGCCAGGAGACACAATTCCATTGTGCACTGGAGCATCCTGAGCTCTGGCACTGCAGCTTCAGGAGCTCTCCTGTTCTTGCAGCACAAGGACAGGCCCAGAGGAGCCCTGCAGGGCTGGGGCAGGGCTGGGGCAGCACAGGACACTTTACTTGTAGAGGGTGACGTCCTGGTGGCCGCGGGGCTGCGCGCTGTGCTCCGGCTGCGGCCCCGGCTCCCGCCTGCCCGCCAGGAAGGGCTGGTAGCGAGAGGCCTCCTGAGGGTGCCGCACCTCCAGGGCCTCCTGAGGGTTCAGGTACAGCGTCACGGGGATGGCTGGCAGGATGCTGATGTACCTGAGGGGGACAGGGACAGCAGCTTAGGAGGGACACCAGGGGACTGGGCAGGTCTCAGGGTGCTTTCAGTGCATAACTTAGGGTGTTCTGAACTAAAGATCGCCTTGGAAATACTCTCCTCTAAAATTACCCCCCAAGTCTGAACCCTTCAAAGAGCCAGCAGTGGAATGAGATGAGATCAAGTGGATCCCATGAATTTAAGTAAGGATTTAGTCTTCTGTGTGCTGCAGGTTGGGAGGTCTCACCAACATTTTCTTCAGCTCAGGTGTCTCTTCCTCACATGTACTACTTCCTTCACTTACAGATGATTGTATCAGACAATTGTGGAATTACTGAGGTTGGAAAAGTCCTCTGACACCATCAAGTCTGGCTGTTCCCCCGTGTCCTGCCAAGGCTACCACTAACCCATGTCCCCAGACCCCACATCCACAGGGCTTTTAAATCCCCCAGGGATGGGCACTCCACCCCTGCCCTGGGCAGCTGTGCCAGGGCTGGGCAGCCCTTCCCATGAGGAATTTTCCCAATTTCCAACCTGAACCCCCCCTGGCCCAGCCTGAGGCCGTTCCCTCTCCTCCTGTCCCTGTTCCCTGGGAGCAGAGCCCGACCCCCGCACTGTCCCCTCCTGTCAGGGAGTTGTGCAGAGCCACAAGGGCCCCCCTGAGCCTCCTTTTCTCGTTTTGCAAAATTTAAAACTTCACTTCCAAGATGAAGGAAGACACGACACCAAGGATATAAACACCCAGGAGCACAGAGAGAAACCACCCTGATTCCCAGAGGAACAGCCCTGCAGGTTTGTGAGCTCTGCCCACCCCAGAGGATCTGCTCAGCAGCTCCTCCCAAACACACCTGCAATGAGCCCATGGAACCAGGTTATGAGCTGGGAGTACAAAGGACAGAAGGGAGACAAACCCTTGGGCTCAGCTGCCCAGATCCCAGTGCCTGAGGCACTCCATGCCAGCCCACTTGCCTCTTGGCCAGGGTGATGTTGTAGTAGCTGAAGAGGGCTGGCCAGTGCCTGAAGGAAAGCTTCCTCCAGATCTCCTCATCCTCTGCTCCCCAGGTAACCTCTGCTTCTGTTCCCAGCTCCACCTGCCCGTTCCCTCTGCCCTCGGCTCCCTGGGCCCAGGTGTGCTGGTTCGGCTCCAGCCCCGCCTTCTGCTCCCGCTGCTGCGTTTGGTTCTCTGACAGCTGGAGCGGCTCCGACGGGAACACTGACAGGTCCATCTTGGGGTCCCCAGCAGGCAGGACCCCTCCAGGAACGGGCATGGGAGGCAGACCTGCGTCCCCCAGGGGACTCTGCTCCGTCACCTGGGATGTGAGGTAGGTGCGGAGCCCAGCAGGATCCGTGTAAACCAGGATTCCGATCCAGATCACCGTCCCGGCCTGTGCAGGGTGAGCAGAGACACAGCTCCCTTCAGTGCCACCACCCTGTCCCCTTCAGTGCCACCACCCTGTCCCCTGCCTGAGCTGACCCCCCACACCCCAAGCACAGGTACCCCACGTTTCCTGCAGCCTCAGTGCCCACACTGCTCCCTGGGGAAGGTTTGGAGCACTGCCCAGCACACACAGAACCTGGACACCACTTTTCTGTGATCCACGTGATGCTCAGAACCCAACTTCTCTCCCCAAAGGCACAGCAGGAAGGAGACTCCGTGCTGTCAGCAGGGACCAGCATGTCTGGCATCTCCAAACAGGGCTGGAAAGGCTCAGTTTGGATTTTGGGATCCACACTTGTGCAGGACCCACTGCTGTGGGACCATGTGGGGATTGAACTTGGACTGCCAGTGTTGTCTGACTGGGCTGGGAACACAGAGATCCCTGTAATTCTATTAGAGACATCCAAAACAGAGACTGGGGGGACAAGCAGGACCACAAGTTCTGTGTCTGCAGCAGCTGTAAGGAGTGAAACCCTGACCAGAACATCTCCTAAATGCCTTTAGTCCACATGTGCAGGAACAAACCACAACTTCTGCTTGTAAAATCATCTCCAGACTCAGCCAGCCATGGCAAACTGCTTCTGGATCCCTTGGGGCAGCACCAGGGAACCAGGACATGGAGCTGTGTCAGGCCTGGTGGGGGTGGGTGCCCAGCAGGTTGCTAACCTGCTGGGGTGGGTGCCTGGCAGGTTGCCATCCCATCTGCCGAGGCTGCCCTGGGTTACCATGCCGGGTGCCCCGGTGCCCCTGGGTTGCCATCCCTGGTGCCCCTGGGTTGCCATCCCCGGTGTCCCTGGGTTGCCATCCCTGGTGCCCCTGGGTTGCCATCCCCGGTGTCCCTGGGTTGCCATCCCCGGTGCCCTGGTGCCCCGTACCATGATGAGGCGCTGGGCCAGGCGAGTGCGGGCGAAGAAGTAGATGACGCGGAGGCGCTTGGGCAGGCGCAGGTTGCGCAGCGAGGACGGCTGCAGGGTGATGGTGTGCGCCTGCAGGCTCAGGCTGTGCGCCCGCAGCGCCGGCGGCCGCGCCCGGCACGGAGCCTTGGCCGCGGCCAGGCACGACTCGGGCGGCAGCCGCTTGTTCAGGTCAGCCAGCTGCAACAGACACACGGGAGGGGTGAGGGGTCCCTGCTCAGCTGTGAGGGTCCTTCCCCCATGGTCCTGCTGCTGGCCATGTCTCCTTCCAGCCCATTTACCCCAAATCAGCACGTTTATACGCTCAGGGAATCACGGAATGGACCTTAAAGCCCTCCCATCCCACCCCCCGCCCCCATGGCAGGGACACCTTCTACAGTCCCAGGCTGCTCCAACCCCAGTGTCCAACCTGGCCTTGGGCACTGCCAGCGATCCAGGGGCAGCCACAGCTGCTCTGGGCACCCTGTGCCAGGGTCTGCCCATCCTCAAAGAGAAGAAATTTTTCCTAATATCCAATGTAAACCTTCTCTCTGTCAGTTTGAAGACATTCCCGCTTGACCTGCCCAAAATCTCTCTCCATCTTTCTTGTGGGCTCCCTCTAGGTTCTGGAAGGCCACCAGTAGGTCTCTAAGCTTTCCTTCTCCAGGCTGGATAATCCCCACTCTCTTAGCCCTTCTTCACAGCAGAGCTGCTCCATCCCTCTAATCACCTTGATGCCTTCTCTGGATTTGCTCCCACTGCTCCATGTCCTTCCTAAGAGTCTTTTCCCTCAAGTGTTCTGTTCCTAGTTCCTGTGTGTGTGTAGCCAAGTAAGTATGGAACTGGAATTTTAACAGCTCAGTGTGAGAGGAAACAGCCTCAAGTTGAGCAGGAAAGTTGAGGTTAAGTATTAGGAAAAATTTCTTCCTGGAAAGGGCTGTACAGCCCTGGCACAGCTGCCCAGAACAGGGGTGGAGTTCCCATGCCTGGGGAAGGAATTTAACAGCCATGTGGATGTGGCATTGGGGACACGGGTCAGTGGTGAGGGGAATGGTTGGGCTCCATGATCCCAAAGGCCTTTCCCAAGCTCAGTGATGGATGATTCTGCTCCTTTTCTCTCTGGGCAGTGAGCGGGGCTGAGCTGCCCTCCCTCCCCCGGGCAGGCCGTGCTCCCCGCCCACCTCCATGCGGCGGATGTCGATGGACAGCACCGTGGTGAAGAAGAACATCTGCAGGAAGAAGTCGGACACCAGCCCCACCACGGCGAACAGGCAGAACTCCTGTGGGTGAGACACGGATTAGAGCAATTCCATTTCACCCCAGAACGAGGGACACTCAGCACCAAACCCCCTGACCCATCTCCTGTATTGGCTGAGACTTCAGGGATGGGTGAGTCCACGTGAGAATACAAGAGCTTTTATTCTAATTCACATTCTTTGTTCTTTCTGGCCACAATCCATCAAATCCCTGAGACTCTACTCCCAGGGAACAAGGGACAGGATGAGAGGAAAAGGCCTCAGGTTGTGCCAGGGGAGATTTGGATTAGAAATTAGGGAAAATTTCTTCCCCAAGAGAGGCTGTTAGGCATGGAACTGCCCAGGGCAGGAGTGGAGTCCCCGTGCCTGGAGGGATTTAACAGCTGTGTGGCTGTGGCACTTGGGGACATGGGTTAGTGCTGGCCTTGGCAGTGCTGGGGAACAATTAGACTTGAATGGTCTCCAAGGCTTTTCCAGCCCAGACAATTCCCTGAGTCTGTGATGGTGCTGCCCATGGCTCCCTGCCAGAGCTCACCTGGATGGCCGGGACCAGGGTGAAGTATCCGATGAGGATGATCCCCAGCTCTGTTGCCATGTTCTTCATGATGGACCAGCTCTCATTGCTCAGGCCTGGGGAAAGGCAAGGACAGCTCAGGGGAGCTTCTTCATGTGCCAGACATGAGCACAGCAAAGGCAGCTCCATTTCCCCTCTTCAAAATCTACAGGCAACAGGCCAAAAAGGCCCTTCCAGGCTAAAATTCCTGAGTGCAAAGGCCCACTCAAGTTCTGAGTCCTCATTCCCATCTAGGATCCAAACCACTTGTATTTTTAAAACTAACATCACCATTGCTCTGGAATCTCTTCTCTGTGATGTTTAGAAACAGCTTGGAAGATGGCAAATCCCATTTATCCATGCTGTGAGCACACTCAAATCCTTCCATAGGCATTTTTATAGAATGGAAAAGATAATTTTGTCACACATTCAGGGGAATTTTGTAGGATCTGTGTTCTGCACTTCTGGTATCCAGGACCTGAGGACAGTGCTCAGTATCCATACCAGGAGATCCAGCTCTCCCCTGATAATATTTTCAAATATTTCTTTAAGCCTGCTTCAGTCAGCAATCCCAAGAACAACAGCGTTACATTCTTGGAATTCAAAACAAACACAACTCAGCTTGCTTCCTTCCCAGACCTGAATGAGAGCATTCCCCCTCTCCCAGCCCTGGCTTTCCCCATTTTCCCTCCCTGCAGTGTCCCAGAGCAGGATCCTACCCTGGGCAATGCGCAGCTTCACCTCCAGGTCCACGGGCGTGGACACCACGGACTTGGTGAGCACCAGCACGTTCTCCAGGCCAATCACCACCACCAGGTATGGGAAGATCTCCCTGGAGGAGACAGAGGCAGAACTGAGGAGGAGATCCATGGGGAAAAAGGAGGGAAAGAGGCAGGTTTGGAGCAAACACACCCCTGGGAGTTGAGGAGACACCACTCTGAGCCCAAATCCCCTCCCTCAGGGTCACACTGTGCAAGGAAAAGGTTTGTGTTTCCTCTGCCCGGGGCAGAAATCACCATTTGGCAAAGCTGCAGGAATTCCTGGGAAATGCCCATTGTGGAGCACCACTAAATTGATCTTGGTGCTTCCCAGGGTGGGGACAGAGCCCTCTGCTCTCCAGCATGGGGTACAATAACAGAGATGGATCTGAACAGCCTGTGAGGGACTGGGGGTGGGGAATCACTCATCAGGGAGGGGCAGGGAGCGTGTCCCACCTCCTTTAAGGATCATCTCATTCCAGCCTTGCCATGGCAGGGACACCTTCCACTGTCCCAGGCTGCTCCAAGCCCCGTCCAGCCTGGCCTGGGACACTGCCAGGGATCCAGGGGCAGCCACAGCTGCTCTGGGAAATCCATTCCAGTCCCTCACCACCCTCACAGGGAAGGATTTCTTCTGTCTATCTCACCTAAATTTCCCCTCTTTCAGTTTGAACACTGCTCCTTGTCCTACCACTGCAGTTCCTGATGAAGAATCCCTCTCCAGCTTCCCTGTAGGCTCCCTCAGACACTGGAAGGGGGGAATGTCAGTGAATGTCCACAGTGAGTGAAAAAACCACCAACACAGAGAAGCCTCTGGAGGGCAGCTTCTTCTTCATGCTCAAGAATCCAAAATTCAGCAAGAACAACTCAGGTCTGCCTTTAATGAAAGCATTTTCAGCTCATAAGCTGTGTGAGTTCTCCAGGCAGCACCAGCACAGGACAGAGATGGGAGAAAAAGGAGATAAACTCCTTGGGGATGGGAATCTCTGAACAGAGAGAATGGAACTGGAGAATGGAGCTACTGCAGGAGGGGGCTGTGGGAGAGCCTGCTCAGCTCCAGGAATGATGTGTTATCCCAGCAATTCCTGCAGCTCCAGGCACACAGAGCCAGCTGCTCAGCAGTGCGGGATCTCCAGGAGGACTGGCCAGCAGAGGAACACGTGCCCTGCATCCCTGGGCAGCAGCTGGGGGAGATGCTGGCCAGCAGTGTGTCCCTGTTCCCTGGCAGGGCTGGCACGTACCCGCCGTTGAGCGTGGGTGTGAGGCCGAACAGGGTGCAGAGCCCCACGGACATGAGCAGGGAGCTGAGCACCGTCACCACCGCTGCCAGCGCCAGGCCCCACTTGGACTTCACCATGTCGATCTTCCCTGGGAAAAAAACAGGGCCCAGCCACGTCAGCAGGGACAGCAAACACAATTCACACGGTGGGGACAGGACACTCGGCCTGACCCGCTCCAGGAGGTCACCACACATCCCCCAGGATGGGACACCCATCCTGACCCGCTCCAGGAGGTCACCACACATCCCCCAGCCCAGGAGGGGAAGTACTGCAGTGCTCCTGTCTGAAATGCAGCCCCCAGAGCCTCCCAGGACAAGGCTGGCTCACAGCTCACACCAGCACTGCACTGAGGTGGGGGAAACCAAACTGAAATGTGGCCAGAGAACTCTAAACCCACCAGCTCAGAACATGTGTCTGATCTGAGTGATAATGGATGAAACAAAGTGGGAAAATGGTACTCCTGTAGCATCTACGAGTGCCTAAGACAGAAAACATCTTGGAAGAGATCAAAGAATCACGGAATAGTTTGGGTTGGAAGGGACTTTAAATGCAATCCCATTCCACTCCCTGTCATGGAAAGGGACACCTTCCACTATTCCAGGCCTTGGACAGTTCCAGGGATGGGGAAACAGCTCCAGCTGGGGAGATGGATCACGAGGAATACCACCACACTGGCCAAGAGGGGCAAATTAGCAGGAACCAGGTAAGCAGTTACTAATTGTCAGGGCAGCATTCCAACAGCAGCACCTCTCCTGCTGACACAGGTGGGAAGTGGAGTGGTGTGACAGACAGGAGCCTGCAGCCCTGAGCCCACCTGAGCCCAGGTGCCCCAAACCTACGTGTGGAGAAGTAGATGTAGGCGAAGAGGATGATGTAGGTGGTGACGAGCGGGATGAGCTCGGCGATGCCGATCTCCTCCTTGAAGTGCACGTGCACCACGTGCTCCTCCCGCAGGCTGCAGTTGGGGCTGGGGTGCAGCAGCTTCAGGCGGGAGCGGAGGCTGCTCAGGAACCTGGGGAACAGCAGCACGTCACTCACCTGCTCCAAGGAGCAGCAGGAAGCTCCACGGCTCCACACGGGCCAGCAAAGCTCGGCTCTCTCCAGGCCTTGCTCCCGAACCTGCTCCTTGCTGGCCCCAACCATCCACACCTTGATTTCTACTGGGCAGACTCACCAAAACTTTGTTTTAAAGCAAAGGCTCATTAACCACGATCTAGGCCTGAGGAACAGAACGTGCCATGGCTTCAAACACTCACAGAATTTTCCCAGAATTACAGAATTCTGTGTAAAAGTGCCTGATGGAAGGTGCCACACAACGGCCCTCAAGGCTCAGCGCTCTGGAAGAGCAAGTTTCAACTCCTGGGCTGCCAATTCCATCCCAGGCATCCCCATGGGAATTCTGTGCAGCTCAGAGGCCTCAGATCCACTTGATCCATGCCAGTTTGGCCAACACTGCCAAGGTGTTTTGACCAGTTGAACCAGTGCTTACTGGAAAGCAAACCAGTCTGTGTACAAGGAACTGAGTCAAACCAGAGCCACTGGGCCCTGCATGCCACAGGAACTCCCCCTGGCAGCTCTGGATGCTACAGACACTGTGAAGAGAAGCTGAGAATTGAGAATATTTCATTTCTGTAAAACACAGCAAGTTTTCTGCCCAGAAAAGCACCTTCAGAGATGCAAGATACTCTAAACCACAAGGAAATGGAGTGTAGCAATGTATTCGAATAGTTTAGGCCATAGTTTATACCAGGTGCATCAGCCAAGCCATTTTTAGCTGTTTTTCTGCTGTTTTATCAAACACTCTGGAATTGGTCAAGGCTACTGAAACACAAATTGTGCTAAACTGGGAGAGAAGAAGCTGAAAAACAGAATACCAAGATTAGGAGACCCAAGACAAAGAAGAGGTGGTGAAGGAGTGGACTGTAACCAATCATATTTCCTGCAAGGTGCACGCAGAGTGCGTGGGCAACATAGAGGCACCAACCAAAAAATGAACAGCAGTAAACAATAAATGGGGTTCTGCATCATCACAGTGAGTGGCTGTTTAGGAAGTGGTGTGCTCCTGCAGTGGAGCCAGCAGGAGGGTGGCAGGGCAGCAGAGTGCTCACCTGGAGTCGTAGTGCTGCAGCCCCAGGGTGACGGTGTAGGACACCACGCGGCGCCGGTTGTACAGGCTGACACCGCTGTACCTGCCAGGCAGCCCGAACAGCAGGTCTGCAGAGACAGGGGACATCAGGCGACACCACACACACACACCAGGGCCACACACGTGCTCCTTGTCAGTGGGAACGGCTGCTCTGATCCCCCCTAGGCTATCCCACATTTCCCAGTGCTCTGAGACCCCAGGGATGGGCTCACACCTGGGCCAGGCTCCAACCACAGCCAGCTCACAAATAACCTTTAAAGCAAACTCCTTTATAGGTTACAAACCCCTTTTCAGACATGTAATACAGTACAGCATACACTTCCAGGATTCTGAAGTTCCTTTAAAACCAAAGGATTCAGCCTGCATTTAAACCTGCATTTCCTCTGGCATTATGGAGTCACTAATGATCCCACACACGCTCAGAGGGTTTCCTTATAAGCAAGAGATAAAAATACTTTTATGACATCCATTGTCAGCTCGGGCTGTGTGCAAGGAATTGGAACACACAAGGGAGCAGGATGAATGTTGATTTATCTGTGACAATGAGGCAGCCTTTGAGCATGACAGAGGCTGGAGCATGTGTAGAGTGAGAGGAACAAAACCTTGCTATTTTTACCTGCAGAAAGAAGCCTGAGTGAGTGATTTGTTCACTTCTCACAAATACAGATGGGGGCTCCCATACACATACAGAATGAGAGACAACAAAGACTGGGCACCTTCAGCTGCTGTGAATGACAAAATACTGCCCAAATTGGCCCTATCAGCAACCCAGGTGTTGGAATTAGTGAGGATGGAATAACAATGAAGCTGTAGGCAGCTCCCCTGGCTCTGCAGCCCCTCACCTTTGAGCGTGGCTGACGTCTGCAAGGTCTTTGGCTCATGCTGGTGGATGGTTTTGATGATATCGGGGTCGGCATTGAAGCGCTCGCGGTCGTTCTGCCAGAAGTTCCCCGGGGACAGCAGCAGGCAGCCGTGCTCTGGAAGCAGATTCCTCAGCTTCCTGAGGCCTGGCAGCAGGTCTGTGACCTGCAGACAAACCTCCTCCAGGCTCCTGACCCCGGAGCTGAAAGGCAAACACAGGCCTGAGGGACCGAACCGAGCCAAGGGCAAAGCTCTGGGAGAGGAGCATCCCCGGGACCTGCATCCTCATCCTCACACTGCTCTTCATCCTCGCAGCTGAGAACACAACTGGGCCTCCCTGCAACTGTCAGCAGGCTCCAGAACTGCATCATCATCCCTGGCTGCTGCCTGACCCCACAGCTCTCACTCCTCACCATTTCAGTTCCACGTTAAAGACGCTTCCACCCGACAGAGAAACTCTCTCTGGAATCCTTGCAGACCTCAAAGCCCTCTCCACACCTCTCTCCTCACATGCAGTGATGTTTTACAGGAATCCTGATCAGCCTTCCTGAGGTGGATCCTTTGAGGTGCACAGAGTGCTCTGAAATGCACCTGGGATTCAGTATCTGCACCTGGCTGTGGTGTTTTCCCAATTCCTCTGCATTGTGTGGAAAGGAGAATTTCCTTAGAGGTTCACAGCTGCACACAGGTGTAACTGGAGTGAACTGGAACCTGTGTTTAACATCATCCTTAATTATCCATTTAATCCTTAAAATCCATAAAGCACTAATTCAGGCAAGACTCAGCCTGGGTTTCCAGCAGGCTTTGGTGGGACAAGTGGAACAGGACATCTGACCCCAGCAGGAGCTGATCTGCTGCTTGGAACCTGCTCAGGTCAGGCGTTATTGTTATTCTGGCCCCATGGGGTTCACACTGCTCTGGCATCTCCCAGCTGCCCAAAAACACCTCAGTGCTGAGGGGAGGTCTGAGAGATGAGCTGCATTTCTGACTGAGACACCTCAGCAAACTTCCCCAAACCAGAAATCTTCTGTGCATTTCCCTGGACAGCCTTTAAAATTTTCAATTGGCACTGGAGCTCAGACATCTTTAATTACTCCCAAGGATGCTAAAAAGCTGAACTTAGGTTTTAAAAATAGAGAAGTTCATTTAACTGGCTTTAATGAAAAAAGTACTCTCTGTTACACTGCCAAAGTCTGTTTGTGGTTACCTGGGGAAAAGTGAATGACTTCACACACATTTGTGATGGCAGATCATGAAGAGAACATTTTAGGATATGACATCCTTAAAGGGAAACTTTGGCAATTACCAACCAGGGATGTTTGGTCCTTTGGACCCAACAAAAACCCCAGAGCAATCTTTCTGGGAAGGGTTGGAAAATCAGTCTCTTAAAAATTTTAGAACAGTTTTACCTGTTTCTAACTGACATTAAACTGTACCCTGTGCTTCCTGCAGCCACACAAGGGATAAATGAAGGAATTAAAGATTTACAACAAAGGGCCATTATGTTTAGGATGCATTCACAATTCCCCTGTTTGACAGGTGATAAAAGAAGACAGGAGCTGGCATTCATCAAAGGCTTCAAGCTGACACAGAACCACTCCCTGCAGCAGCCCCAAATACTGCAAACCTCAGTGCTGCTCTGCAGGCAGCTGCACACAAAGGGATGGCAGATGGGATAGAAAAGATGGTTTTTATGGTCCCAGTTCAGGAAGAAGATAAACCCAAACTTCATTCACTTGGGAGGAACACAATCCACCTTCAATTGCCTACCTCGGGCATTTATGCACTCAGCCAGCAGAGCACACAATGCTGCAGCTGAACTCACATGAATAAAACCTCAGGAAGGAGCAGAGATTTATCACTACATTGATGGTGTGTAGGAGGTGAGGAGGAAAGTGCAGTGAGAACAGCACAGGATATAGGGCACAGATCCAATGGGGAGGGGACAGAAGTGCCCTCAGCCAAGAGCTGGAATTCCTGGGGACTTGGGGTAGCAGGCCAAGCTGCAATTCCAGATGAAACCATGACAAAATTAGATGCTATATCTACCCCCATTACTGAAAAGGAGCCTCAAAAGGTACTTTGAGATACTGGGGAAGTCACATTCCTGGATTTTCTATAATAGGAAGGCATTAATAAGGAGAATCCAAAACTGGAATGGACTGATAGCCACAAGTAGGTTTTGCACACACTGATAGAAGAGTTAAAACATCAATCCCTTGGGCCAGCTCATCCCAGCCATCCTGTAACAGCTCGAGGGGATTTTGCTGGACATGGAATTTACTTTAATATGTTCCAGAAAGGGCCACACTGACCCAACCAACCATTAGGGTTCAGCTCCACAGCATTTAAAGATGCTGAAAAGAGAAACACTGCTTGAGAAAAGGGATTATTATCCCTGACCTGAGCTCTGAACAAGCAGAAAGAATTCAACAGCACTAACCTGTGAAAACCCAAGGACCTTTCAGTCCCTGGCCAGTGTCAAGAAGGGCAGTGAACAGCTGACAAAACCCAGAAAGATAAAAATGGATTAGTTGGCAGCTCCACAACACTGGTGTGGATTGGGGGAGTGCTGACACTGAAATGAGGGAATACTGGACAAAAAGATGGATTTTTTGGAGCACAAAGCAGGGGCTGGCACTGGCCAGGAAGATGTGTCAAGGCACTCTCACAGAGTGTCCCCAGTGCCAGCTCAGCCTTGAACAAAATCATCCAGACCTGGCACTGCCTTCACAGATCAAAAGTACCAAAACACTCTGGGCCTCCTGGCAGAGATTCTCCTGTGCCTCTGAAGACATCCCTGGTTACAGGTGCTCACTAACTGTGCCTGGGCTGGTTTTGGGCTGTCATCACTGCCCAGAGCAGGCACAAAGCTGCAATTTGGGGATTCAGTGACTGGTGTGCAGCCTCCCTGTCCCAGACTCCACTCAGAGTGACAGGGGATCACACTTCACCAGTGTGAAGGTGTGAGACTGGGCCAAAAGACAAGGTATGAAATGGGTTTTCCACACACCTTATTATCCCCAAGCAAATGGGATTTGGAGCATGCCAATGGTGCCTTAGGCCACGTGAATCTGGCTGGGATAAAAGGTTACCCTCTGTGTTATGTCAGATATAATAAATAACCCCTATCAGACATAATAAATGTCATTAATAAATAAATAAATAGTATATATATGGGTGTGTGTATGTACACATATATATAAAAAATATATATAAAAATTTTTAATATGTTGGTGTATATGTATATGTATATAATATGTATATGTATATGTGTATGTATATGTATATTTAATAACAATTTGGAGCTGTTATGGACCAAGGGCTAGTCCTGTTTCACGAGCTTTCCTGTGCCCTGTGTGTCCTTTAACAGCTCCAAATGACAACACTGAAGCTTTTCAGGACAACTCCCAGGTGGGAAAGCCAGTGCTGGTGAAGTTAGAGCAGACTGGGGTGGCACCTGTGACTCTGAGGGGCACTGGAGGAGCAAAGTTTGGGTGACTGGTGACTCTACAGGCACAAGGAACTCCCTTTGGAGCCTCCCCCGTTCCAGACTCTGATCTAGGTCCGTGTTTTGGAGCCTCCCCCGTTCCAGCCTGTGCTCCACTCCGTGTTTTGCTCCCCCCCGGCCGGGCCGGCTGCCCCGCAGCGCCCCCGTGTGGAGAGGAAAGGAAAGGAAAGGAAAGGAAAGGAAAGGAAAGGAAAGGAAAGGAAAGGAAAGGA